AAGCTCCAGGGAAGAAAGTTGTGTCTTTTCAATTCATGTCAAGAGGTTTAAATGAATAAAGGCTGTTTACATTCTTACATGCACCCGTGGTGATAGATGGTAGCAATTTAAGCATTCTTGCCACATTCAATATTTGAATATTAAAAATTGTCTTCTAAAGGTTTTGAAGATTTATTTCAATGGGCATTAGATATACAAATGCTGTTGAAAATCCTAGTAAGTGCCTACCTGAATTTTTAGGGGACTAAATACCATTAATAATCTATCTCTAGTTGCTTTGCCAAACTGGATTCCTAATAAGTGGCCTGATCTTTACAAGTGCTGACCAACCCCCAGCTCTTATTGACTTCCGTGGAGTTACTGCTAATGTGCTTGTGTACCTGAGAAGTGCATCAAAGCCAAGCTCTCCCTGCACTACCCAAAAAATTCTTGACATTATGCTATAGTTCATCAGCCAAACTTTTTGTCATATGTGATGCAAATGGAACTGTTACTGTTGTGGTGCAATAATTATCTTGTGTACCATAGTAATAGACCCATTCTGGTTCTTCCGTTTAGTCATGCTTTCTTTTGTTATAAATCAACAGTGAAGTCAGCTTCTCCTTTACCCCACCTTCCTCCAACAAAGCCCAAGTAAATAGCATTATGCAGGGAAGCAGCAGGATTTTGGAGCCCCACCCCATCCCCAAATAACAGTAAAGGCATGAGTCTGGGCTAGCACAATGGGGGTGCCCTGGGAGTACTCCCACGATGCAGTATGTTGTATGTGGGCTACAAACGAGGTGGCATGACCAAAGCATGCTATGCTCCAGCAACCATTGTCAGCATTACAGCCCATGCCACATTCTGCTTGCGAAACACTATTCCAAATCTTGCTTCCTGCCTCAGTTTCCCCATCTGTAAAAGGGCATTGTGAGGCACTTATTCATCAACACACATGAAAGGAGCAGAAGGTGCTGTAGAAGGCCAAAGCACTGTTGTAAGCATTGTCGCAGCAGTGACATTTATCTGAGTGGGTGAAAGGCACTAAAAGTGGCTTAGTCCATTTTATCACCCCAGAGAGAGCAGCATACAATACTATTACTACAATAGCGCTGCAAGCTTATTGCCCCGGCAACGTTCCTTCAGAGTGAAGGCCTCCTGCCTCGTCCAGCTGCAAGGTGGGCTTCACGCAGGTTGTTAAATGTCTGTAGAATTGCTGAGCTTAAGCAATATCTATTGCTAAGGCAGTTTGAACATACCTGCTGGAAGCTGCTGGCTCCTGGCTATTAACCTTTCTACATTAATTAGGGGGCAGACTGTGTGCACTAAGAGGTGGGGGTTCCAAGGCTGCAGTTTGTTTTTCCTCCCCGCTACAGAAACAAATATTAATAACAGTTGTTCTTTGCTGAAAGTGAACCATCCCCATATGCTGAAATGAAGTCCAAAAAAAAAAAAAACCCTTTAAGTAACCGGACCACAGTTTTCGCTGAGGAATGCTGAGACACAAGGATCTGTTTTGAATTGCTTTATGAAAACGTCTCATAATATATATAAGGCATTTCTGTATTTTTTGGGGGGAAATAGTACAATAATCTTTTTTACTTAGATATCTGATCCGAAAAGCTTCCATTACTTGTTAGCTTTCTTATAAAAAACCCCTATTTATTGCAATCCTGAAAATTGACAGTTTATAAAAATACCTTGAGTCTCTCATCAACCAATGGCCAATTAAGGGCCCACAGAACTCAATGGGAGTTTTATTATTGATTTCAAAGGAATAGGATCATGCCTTTAAGGGGATTTAAATTACCATGATGTTGGTAGTGGACAATGAAATGTGACAGTATTGATGTATCTTGGCAACAGGACAAAAACACACCACTCTATGACAAGTAAACCTAAACTACCTAGATGCCCTGAATCAACTAATGTGAAAAAATAAATACTTTGAACTAGGGATATTAAATTGCGGTTAGGAAGCTAATCAAGTAGTCGATGGAATTTCCATCGACTACTCAATCAGTTGATAAGAGGGTTTGCTGCAGCTCTGCTTATGAAATGTAGCAAGGGCTAGGCTTATCGGGCAGTCGACTAGTCGGTTACATCCCTACTTTGAACTGTTTTCATCAGCTTATTTTTTTCCTCATCTCCCTTTTTCCTTCTTGTAAGAGCTGAATCGTCTATTTAAACCATTTTCAGTTACTTCTCTCTAATTTCCTTCCCCTCCTCCCTGCTGCTTGCAAGAGCTGAATCATCAAAGTAACAGTAGAATCTATTTGAGTTTATTAAAAATTGAGGAAAACCAGGAAGATCAGCCATGACGGGTGCTCTTAATCAAACCATTAACAAACGTAATTCTCCAGCAATACAATAAATAATTTCTATTATAACTCAGCAAATACACCATTATGCATCATGAATATCCTTTAATTAGGAACATGCAGCTACAAGCAAGAGAATAAAATTCCAGGGATCCCATAGCATGACACTAATGGCGTGGTTGTATTGCTGTACAGGGAAAGGCTGTTGCCTACTTGCATGAAACTACTTAAGAACCAATCGGAGATTTTCTTCTAAATTGACAATGGAGGTGTTTGGGAAAAACGAGCCGCAATGAAATTTGTTCTTTGAGACTTCAGAATTTGGGAATGGTTAATAAATTTAGTGATGGAAAAAAAATTAAGGGGTTGGAGGAGATGGGAAAAGAAAATGCATGTACAGTATGTTGCCACTCTGTTTACAGCGTGGCATAGACATGGAAGACTGTGTGATAGCATCCTCTCCACTGCCTAACCATGCCCAAGACATCCATTGCTGCTAGAGAGTGGTCCCCCACTGAAAGCCTGGGAGCACGGCAGCTGCCTTTGTTCCCCTCTCTTGTGCTGGTAGATCTTAAAATGCAATTTTCGTTATGCTACCTCTGTCTGTGCAGAAGCCACCTCCCCCCCTCCTCCAACTTGTAGGAACCTGTGGACGGGAGAGTTCACATGAGGGAAGCTGGAGAAATGTCTTCATGTCAACAGAACTACCTTGTGAGCTGTGTTACTAGACAGCACTTGAGCTGGAGAATCATGGAATCAAAGAGGATCTCCCCAGAGTCAAGTATTAAGGGGGCAATTTGTATTGGTTCCTGTGAGGTCAGCTCTGTGCAGTTCTCGGAAGCCCTGTTAGAAGGGAAATATAGTAAAACTGACAAGTCCAAGGCTTTAACAATTATATTTTCTCCTCCTTTGTCTGTTCTCCTCAAAAGAGGAAATAAGGGTCAAAACACTTACAAATGGCATTTGGAAGTGTTACAACTCCAACATGTCAAAATAGGATCTACCTGATTTGCGATTGTCAAGTGAGTCTCGTGAACATTTTATCCCTGTCTATGCTTCCCCTCTGATGGAGACATTTAGAGAAGGATGGGTGGTGGCAGGGAGGAGAGAATGGAAATGAAAAGCACAAATTTGAACTCCTAGCTTCTTTACTGGGTCTTATAGACACCAGCCCATTGCATTGGTACCGTGTGAGCAGCTAACACACTGCGGCTACATCTACATTGGCCCCTATTACGGAATAGGCATGCAAATGTAGCACTTTGGAAGAGGCAAATCCGGGGGGGATTTAAATATCCCCCACGGCATTTGCATTTTCATGACCCCCACTTTTTTCCGGCTTGGAGATAAGCCAGAGAAAAGCGTCCAGACTGGCGCGATCCTCCGGAATAAAGCCCTATTCCGGAGGATCTCTTATTCCTACTTGCAAATAGGATATTTAAATCCCCCGCGGATTTGCCTCTTCCAAAGTGCTACATTTGCATGCCTATTCCGTAATAGGCGGCCAGTGTAGACACAGCCTGCATGTTTAGGAAGAGGTTGAAGATGATGGGAACCTCACCTTTGTGCTCTTCTATCTGTTGCTGCTTTGTGCAGGCCTCTCTTTTGATCTAGTTAAGGCAGCCACGCTGCCAGCTGCAAACAGACATGGTGGCCAAAATCCTCACTGCAATTAGCGCACTATAAAGGGTGTCCCTCCATATGTCCCATTTTGGTGGCAGCAGAGGGTGGGTGTGGCATAAGAGGTTCTACTTCACCATTAGCAACACACTTGGCCTTTCTGGGCTGATATTTCAGCAGATCCTTCCAGCCAAGTAGTACAAAGCATATCAAAGTCAGAACATTCCAGAGGAGCTAGCAGAACATGTGGCAAATGAAACTGTTAGCTGCATGCTCCAGCTTTGTAGTATGAGTCTAACCACAAGTTTAGTTTTTGCACAAATTTCTGCTCTCATTTTGCAGAGATCAGGTGGATAGGGTTAGGATTTAAGCCTTCGCACATAGCCAAAAGGGGTATAAACTCAAGTGTTGAGCAGTGTACGTTCAATAACGCTCAGGTGGCTTTTCACTGGCATTTAGATTTTGTCAAAGAGTATACTGAGTTTATTGATCACATGGGAAAAATTACATAATCTCAGTTGTAATAACCCCTACTCCTCAGAATTAAAAAGCAGTCGCTGAACAAAATAGTAAGTCTTCTACTGTTGCAAAACAGACAAACAATTCCCAAAACCTGAGAACCTCAAAGAAAACTCAATATAAATGTATAAGAACCAACAGATATATGCACAAAACATTTGGTCATTTCAATATTGTCTTCAGAAACTTTTTCCTTGTTTGACTGGTCAAAGTATTATATACACTCTCCTGTTTCATACACATTTTAAAGAAAAATCAATGTCTAATCCTTAGGCATAGCTATTGATTAAATTTGATTCAATTTGTAACATGGTTCCAAGCTACAGAAGAGGCACATTCTAAGATAAAAATACAGAAAAAAAGGTTAGCACATTTGTCTATTTCCCCCATGTCTCAGCCTGCCTACAGAAGCAGTGAGCTGTTATGGGGGATTAACTAATTAGAAAAAAAAAAACATCCGCACAGAAGTCTAAGTAGGCTGTTCTTTAGCTATCATATTAAGAGTGGATCAATATTTCAAATCTTTATTATCCTGACAAGGA